ACTGTTTCCAGTGTTGCATGTTTTGGTGTGAAGAGTGCCTCGTTGCACATAACATCATTAAAAGCAATAAAGATCACCGTGTTCTAGGGCTCAAAGACTTTCAAGAAAAGGATTACGTGGACATGTTGAAACGACCCTTGTTCTGCTCTAAACAGCTGCACGAGAAAGAAGAACTTAAATACTTCTGCAAGAACTGCGAAACGGCAGCTTACCAAAGCTGTGTTGTGATAGATCATACGGATCACGCCATATTGCACCTAGAGGAAGAAGCGGAAAGACAAAAGATGGAACTGAAATCACTGGCTGAAATACAGAAGCACGATTTACAAGCAAAGATTAACGCTTTGGGTCGACTCGATGAAGATTACGCAAAATTGATACGACAAAACGAAGACATCAAGAGACAAGTGCAGACGTTTGTGGACAATTTGATTGCAACTATTGAAGCGAAGAAACAAAATATCATGGCAACGGCGGACGATGAAACGAAAAGATTTCTCGAAACTCTAACAAGGCAAAAGACGGAGATCGAGAGTGAAGTAAAGATCATCGAATCTTCACTGGAAAAAGCTGATACAATTCTAAAACGAAGCACACCCGCCCAATTCGTTCAACTAAAGAAATCATTTGAGGAAATCTTTCCAGGAATTAATCAAAGCCAGCCAAAAGACCGTTACCCGGAAAAGCTTCCTGTTTTGGCTTTCGTGGAAAACCCAAAGATGCTAAGCAATATAAACGCCGAAGAAATCGGAATGTTGCAAATAGCACACCAAACAACAGCAAGTCAGTCAGTTACTGAAGGAAAAGGACTTGAAGAAGCAATTGCTAACCGTCAAGCACACTTTTCTCTGACCACAAGGGACTATAAAGGAAGACAGTGTTACAATGAAGGTGACCATGTAACAGTGGAGATCATTGACGAACAAGGACGCGACTGCGCAACGGAATTGCAAATAGTTGACAATAAGGATGGACTCTATAAAATCAGTTATTCTCCTAGAAATGAAGGAAGATGTAAAGTGGCGATAAAGGTAAACGGGATACATGTGCACGGAAGTCAATTTATTATCCTCGTAAAACCATTTCACTTTAGACCTGTTTCAGCTTTTGGAGAACAGGATTTGTCGGTTGGAAAGTTTAATGGGCCTTGGGGGGTTGCAGTGAACGCTAACGACGAGATCGCTGTAACTGATCAAAGCAACCACAGAGTTCAAATTTTCAGTAGTGAAGGAAAGTTTTTAAGATCATTTGGTAAGAAGGGTGACATTGTCGGAGAATTCAACAATCCTCGGGGAATAACATTTCATAATAATGGAAATATTTTTGTAGCAGACAGCTTAAATCATAGAATTCAGATTTTTAGTGGTGAGGGTGAGTTCGCGGGAAGTTTTGGTGGGAAAGGAAACGTTGACAGTCAGCTTGATATTCCCTCGGGTCTGTCTGTAGACAGTGAGGGGAATATCATTGTTGCAGACGTAGGTAAAAAACTTATAAAGATATTTTCTCCTGATGGAAAGTTTCTAAGGAGGATAGGTGAGAAGGGCTCTTTTTCTTTTCCTATCCACTGTATTCAGTATGACAGATATCTCATAGTGTCAGACCATAGTGATAACTGTATCAAAGTTTTTGACAGGAATGGAAAGTTTCAGTACAAGTTTGGAGAGCCGGGAGAAAAAGACGGGGAGTTTAATTATCCAAGATCTTTGTTAGTGAACAAGTCAGGGCAACTTATGGTCTGTGACTCAAACAATTATAGAATACAAGTCTTTAAACTGAATGGAAATTTTGTAGGTAAGTTTGGAACAAAGAATAATCATTTAGGAGAATTGATAACTCCACGTGCATTAGCTGTTCTCAGTACAGGGAGATTTGTTGTTACCGATGCTCGTAACCATCGTATTCAGTTAATTGAGTAGTACAGATTCTCTCTGGTGAACTGTTTGGCTTACTTTAAGCAGAAAGAAATTCAACCGCTTTCTACATAAATTAATTGAGTTATATATATAATTAACAAATGGAGGTAAACAAAGTAATAAGGGAGAAATGAAAATAAATTCTTTGGTGCACATATCCGTAAATTTTTAGCGGAGTGGTAGGACTGAAAAAAGGTTAATCAAACCCAGTATGTACACCTGTGAAGCATTCTGAGCGCATTGCTACTGGGAATGTTATGTCTACATAATCAAAACATTTGGTATTCATTATTTTAACAAACGAAAGGTTGTATTATTCATTATGCAAAAGTGTTTTCACTTAAAGTGGAATTAAGATTTGAAAATTTGTTAGCAAATTGTTAGTAAATGTTTTGTAGATAAAATGAAAAAAACATGTAAGTTGTAGAAAGGTTCTCTCAAAGAACTTTAAACCCTTTTTTAGTGGTGTATTTTGTAAGTGCCTTGAGGTCTTAGAAATAACAAGGACATAGGATTTCTGTATATAGTAAGTATTTTAGGTGAAGAGAATTTTGAGTAAGAGATTCAGGTTTGACTGAATCAAAGTAATATGTTCAGTCAAACACAGAAAATACATTAAACTTGATAAACCAAGGGCTGTATCAGCATGTGAAGAGTGGCCAAGTTATTGCGGTTAATTTTGTATATGAATAATTCAGAGAACATGTGGATGGCTTTCAATTTTTCAGCCAAAAACAGAACCTTGTCCTTAAATATTAGTAGCTATCAGATGAAAAATAGATTTAACTCAAGAAAGGATTAACCTGCCATTCCAAACTGGAAATCATTATCATTATTTTGTACTTTGGAACGTAAGCAGACTTCTTAATACTTGTAAGTTTTTACAGAGTGAGTTTATAGTCATCTGATTCAAATTAATTTCAAATAGCGACTTAAACAAAACATAAACTTCTTTACTTCAAATGCAGCATTGCCACATGACCCATATGAATATTTCGTATGCATCGACTTTCATGCAAAACTTGGATTCGCTGCTATCTAATTCAATGAAATTTGCGAGTGTTTCTTCATTTGTCTCGTTGCAGTACTGTTATCACAATTACACGAACTGTAATTGTACACTGAGGGATAAAGCTGTAACACTTTCTTCGGGTCCGTTCCTTCATCGTCGTCATCATCAGGATTACAAATGGAGCGAGCGTTCAACAGCTTTACAAAGTTATCTACTCCACCTGGAAGCAAAGTCTGAGTGTCCTTTTAGCTCTGTCAATAATGTCCCCTCTGGGAGATCCCATACTAGAATACGCTT